TTCAGTTCTTTCCAGTTACTTCCTTCTGGCAGACGGTATAAAGTGCAGTTACTTCTGGCAGCGCGGCTCGTCTATATGGGCAGAGCCCCACCAAAATTTCCATCCAAAACATAGACCTCTATATAAACTGAAACAATTATAAATTGTAAATGTGTTCAGCATTCTGCAACAAATATTTTTCAGATTTTCGATACTGTTTTAAGTAAAAAAAGTACGCAGTATATATTAAAATAAATAAAAAAATATATTAAAATGAGACAATTTTGCAATGTAAATCTGTGGTGAAAAGGGGAACTGCAGCGCGCTCTAATTGAGAGCCATTGGGGCAGATTTGAGACTGCCCCGTTTATTTTCACGTTACCTTACGTGAACCTCCCTCCATGCATCAAGACGATATCAATCCGCTTCAGCTATGTGTCTGCATCAGGTCAGTAACTAGTTGGCATGTCTGGTTTTTTTCTATGTGAAGGATCAAATTAACAAAGTAGGCTATGTTAAATCCTTTAGTTTAAATGTGCTCACATGAATAAATAGCCTTTATATGGTTCTGTTGTGTTTGTTTTGTTTATTCTGAGAATAGACATAGGCCTATGATCTTCTTTCCTCACCCGAATTGCTCCACAACTTGTAACATTTTAAATCAACTTTTGGAGGTGATAAATATTATATTAAGGCAATTATTATACAGCATTTTATGCGTGTAACATTACTTCGAGCTTGTCAATCACCATATTAGCGCGCCACCCACGGGATAACGCAAGGACATCTCTGCCAAAATTTTGTCCCCATGTGTTCAGAGATTAGAATATAAAGCTTAGCCTACAAAATGTTTTTCATATATTAGCGCTACGACCCAGAATCTGCCCACATAGCAATTTTTCTCTGGCCCAGCTCTGGCCCACACAACCAGCTTTTGCTTGGCCCACATACCGCAATGAATTACGGTCCTAGTGTGGACCAGGTCTGGATTCCAGACAAGGGCCACACATGGGCCATTATTGGCCCAAGTCTCAGCCAAGTTAATTACCCATAACTGGCCCTGAATTGGGCCAGATCAAAATGTAACAATGGAACCAAAACACAACCTTAGGTAAACCATATCAACACCAATCTTTAACCAGATAGCCCAAAACTGAGCCACACCTGAGCCTGATCCAGGTGAACTAAACCTGGCAGCCAAAATATGGGCCATGACAGATCCATATCTCAGCCACCTGTATGACCATAGCTGGCCCTATTCTGATCCTATACGCTGGACCAGATGGGTTCCACATGTCAGCCTCAACAAAACCATAACCAAGCCACTTGATACACACACCTCCCAGATGAATAGTCACAACAACGACTTAATCATGATTTAATCATGTTTAATCAGCAAACCATGTTGAATGAATCTCACACCTAACATGCTTATTTGTTTTGCTTGGGCAGTGTGTTCACCCTGTTGGAGTATGGCAGTGTGAATTGGCTTTTAGGTGCTTTGGAAAACAAAACAAAAAGCAGTAAATATATATAAATTTTTTTATATTTACGCAATTAACACAAAATTCTTAAATAAGCTACTTTCTCTATTTTTGCAATATTCTAATGTTCATGTCCCTGAATAATATCTGCATGCACCCAAGTCTGAAGAGTACACATAATATCTAGTGGACAGCAATCCTTGCGAGTGAGAAGTCTGGTGTGGAGGCTGGATCTGGAATCATCTGGATCTGTCCAGGTTATCTGTCTTCACGGACTGCCCTGAAATACAATTCAAACAAACAACGTAGTGTGAGGCTCTTACATTCACAATGCTCATTTTGGCCTCAGTGGTGAAGTGTGCAGAAAATTCTGCCGGACTGAAATTTAGTCTTTGGTGAACAGTCTTCAAGAGTGCAAATAAGATTTTAAGTTTTAAGCACCTTTCAGGCTCGCGTGAGGTTTCCACAAGCAACAAAGTCTACTTGAACAAACACTTCACTAAAGTTTAGGAAATAATATACATACAGACCGTTACAGTTTGAAGTGAGGTACGCTCACAGTACTCTGGTTCTGTCTTACAGTTATTAATTTTAATTTCAAAGATCTTTTTTTTATTATCATCTGTGTGTTTTTTCGAATTATGATGGACCCTTCTGTAGGTTGTTGTGTATGAAGTGTCCTCAGTGCAGAGTTAAACAAGATGGCCTTGTAGGACATACAGGAAATATTTGATATTTATTTGATATATTTTTTTTGAATATTTGATAAACTTTTGAATGTTTGAGGTTTTACTTACTAGTCAGATGGCTCACAGTGCCTTGGAGATGTTCTTCGACAGGAGATCTGGCTCCAGCTCTGCAGCACGGCCATCAGCATTGGAAGAATATAGGAACAATTTGTCACGGAGCCAGCAATATATAGTATACAATGTCAGGTTTATTAGAAATAAACAAACTACAGCAGAGGTGAAATGCAGAAAAGAGAAATAATAATATACAAAACATACAAAAAAAAAAAACATACAAAGAAATCTTAAGATACCAGAATTCACATTTTTAGGTTTTACAGATGCATGATGATATAGTTGAAATATATTGTGAAAAATGCATAAAGTTACTTAATACGATTTCTCAGATCACCTGTGTTTCCTGTATCTCTGTCAGCGTTTTAGGGTTTTCTGATGCTCCTGAAATCACAGTGCAATTTATCATTATTTGTTTGCAATGAAAGCTCAAAACGTGTTTGAAATAGTTTCAGCCCATTAGTTCATGTAACTGACGTCACCGATTGACCCCACAGTGCAGACTTTTAGGTTAAATTAATTAGCTTATAGTTACTTCCATTTATCTATTGACAAAGTACCAGCAAAACATTTACAAACTATCAAAACCGCTCATCTACACATAAAATGTGATTAAAAGCTCAAAGTTTAATTAATAAGAGCTCAAATCTATAGTTAGCTTACCTCTAATAGTTAGCCTCTATAGCTAACAATTAAACACGCAACATGAGCTTTATGTTATGCATTTTAAAAATATATTTCAATATATTTAACAGTGTTTCACATATATGTTAATATATTACCTTTCTATATGGGAAAACATTGGGATTTTACTCAAAAATATTTGAAATGGATTTTAAATGTGGGTCAAGATCGGCCATACTTATGTGGCCCACATATCTATATTTGACATCTGGGCCAAATACTACATTTGACATCTGGCCCATGTCTTGTGTGCCGTCTTAAACCCGGTACCATCTCTGCCAAACCCCGGCCATGTTTGGCCCACATGCTGTATGCCAGTGCCGGATGCATGCCAAATCTGGGCCAAATTTGTTTGCTGACTGGGTGCCCCACCTAAATTTACGGTCAGGAGTCGCTACTGAGTGTACCATAATAACGGGAAAGCATATAGTTTTTATGACATAATATGTCATTATTATGAGAAAAAAATATGTTGTTTTAACGAGAAAAGATGTCGTTTTAACGAGATAATTATATAGTTTTAACGACATAACATCTCGTTTTTACGAGAAAATATGTGGTTTTAAGAGAAAACATCTCGTTATTACGAGAAAAGTTGTCGTTAATATAAAATACAGAAGAAGAGAAACACTTTGAGTTTGTTTCTGACTAGACAGCAGCATCTGTGTTTGTGTGATTTTCGTTGTAATTTTTGAAACCATTCAGAAAGTGAAAGTGAAATTTAGTTTGCTGAAGCTCTCAAACTGTAAAAAATGGATTCATTCTCTGTAAAGGAAATTTCTTGTCCGATTTGCTGTGAAATCTTCAAGGCTTCTGTTCTTCTGTCATGTAGTCACAGTTTCTGTTTAGAAACAGCCATGAAAGTGAGCTCTCTTTAAATACACTAAATACAAGTGGCCTTTTAGTTCATTAACATTACCTATTTTATCTGTTTGTACAATTTTAAAAATATATTTGTAGATTTCTAGTACACTACAGATGCACATTCATTAATTAAACACTTATTTATATGATCACAATTGCATGTACAAGATGTAGCAAATTCATCTGTGTTCATTCAGATGATCAAAGTGAATGTGATTTAAAGGAGACCTATTATACCCCTTTTTACAATATGTAATATAAGTCTCAGGTGTCCCCAGAATGTACCTGTGAAGTTTCAGCTCAAATCACCCCACAAATCATTTATTATATAATTTTGAAAAGGCCTATTTTGAGTGGAAGCAGAAACACGCTGTTTTAGTGCATGTATCTTTAAACGCAAATGAGCTGCTGCTCCCCGCCCCCTTTTCCAGAGTAGGGCTGTGCATTTACAGCTCCTACCTCTGATACTCTGCTATAAAACAACTGTTTGGGTTTGATTGTCATGTCTATCGTGCTGAAATCATACGGTTTTCTGAGTGCACACATCCGAAGCATGCGCAAAGAAAGTGTCTGTCACATCCCAGGTAGCCAAAATGGTTTGGCCCGATAATGGCCCAGATCCGGCAGGCCGGAAGAAATAACTTGGCCCGGCTGCGGTTGCCAGACTCAGCATGGACATGGGATGAATGACGCCCCAGAATCGGCCCAAATACACTGGCCCGAGTCCGGCTGCCAAAACTGCCGGCATTGGGCCACAATCACGCCGACAAGAATTGAAACACTTAGCCAGTACGGGCCCGAGTCTGGGTACTGAACTGAGCCGACACCACCAGCATCGGGCCACAATCACACCGATGAGAAATGAAACTCTTAGCCAGTACTGGCCCGAGTCCGGCTGCCAAAACTGCCGGCATTGGGCCACAATCACGCCGACAAGAATTGAAACACTTAGCCAGTACGGGCCCGAGTCTGGGTACTGAACTGAGCCGACACCACCAGCATCGGGCCACAATCACACCGATGAGAAATGAAACTCTTAGCCAGTACTGGCCCGAGTCCGGCTGCCAAAACTGCCGGCATTGGGCCACAATCACGCCGACAAGAATTGAAACACTTAGCCAGTACGGGCCCGAGTCTGGGTACTGAACTGAGCCGACACCACCAGCATCGGGCCACAATCACACCGATGAGAAATGAAACTCTTAGCCAGTACTGGCCCGAGTCCGGCTGCCAAAACTGCCGGCATTGGGCCACAATCACGCCGACAAGAATTGAAACACTTAGCCAGTACGGGCCCGAGTCTGGGTACTGAACTGAGCCGACACCACCAGCATCGGGCCACAATCACACCGATGAGAAATGAAACTCTTAGCCAGTACTGGCCCGAGTCCGGCTGCCAAAACTGCCGGCATTGGGCCACAATCACGCCGACAAGAATTGAAACACTTAGCCAGTACGGGCCCGAGTCTGGGTACTGAACTGAGCCGACACCACCAGCATCGGGCCACAATCACACCGATGAGAAATGAAACTCTTAGCCAGTACTGGCCCGAGTCCGGCTGCCAAAACTGCCGGCATTGGGCCACAATCACGCCGACAAGAATTGAAACACTTAGCCAGTACGGGCCCGAGTCTGGGTACTGAACTGAGCCGACACCACCAGCATCGGGCCACAATCACACCGATGAGAAATGAAACTCTTAGCCAGTACTGGCCCGAGTCCGGCTGCCAAAACTGCCGGCATTGGGCCACAATCACGCCGACAAGAATTGAAACACTTAGCCAGTACGGGCCCGAGTCTGGGTACTGAACTGAGCCGACACCACCAGCATCGGGCCACAATCACACCGATGAGAAATGAAACTCTTAGCCAGTACTGGCCCGAGTCCGGCTGCCAAAACTGCCGGCATTGGGCCACAATCACGCCGACAAGAATTGAAACACTTAGCCAGTACGGGCCCGAGTCTGGGTACTGAACTGAGCCGACACCACCAGCATCGGGCCACAATCACACCGATGAGAAATGAAACTCTTAGCCAGTACTGGCCCGAGTCCGGCTGCCAAAACTGCCGGCATTGGGCCACAATCACGCCGACAAGAATTGAAACACTTAGCCAGTACGGGCCCGAGTCTGGGTACTGAACTGAGCCGACACCACCAGCATCGGGCCACAATCACACCGATGAGAAATGAAACTCTTAGCCAGTACTGGCCCGAGTCCGGCTGCCAAAACTGCCGGCATTGGGCCACAATCACGCCGACAAGAATTGAAACACTTAGCCAGTACGGGCCCGAGTCTGGGTACTGAACTGAGCCGACACCACCAGCATCGGGCCACAATCACACCGATGAGAAATGAAACTCTTAGCCAGTACTGGCCCGAGTCCGGCTGCCAAAACTGCCGGCATTGGGCCACAATCACGCCGACAAGAATTGAAACACTTAGCCAGTACGGGCCCGAGTCTGGGTACTGAACTGAGCCGACACCACCAGCATCGGGCCACAATCACACCGATGAGAAATGAAACTCTTAGCCAGTACTGGCCCGAGTCCGGCTGCCAAAACTGCCGGCATTGGGCCACAATCACGCCGACAAGAATTGAAACACTTAGCCAGTACGGGCCCGAGTCTGGGTACTGAACTGAGCCGACACCACCAGCATCGGGCCACAATCACACCGATGAGAAATGAAACTCTTAGCCAGTACTGGCCCGAGTCCGGCTGCCAAAACTGCCGGCATTGGGCCACAATCACGCCGACAAGAATTGAAACACTTAGCCAGTACGGGCCCGAGTCTGGGTACTGAACTGAGCCGACACCACCAGCATCGGGCCACAATCACACCGATGAGAAATGAAACTCTTAGCCAGTACTGGCCCGAGTCCGGCTGCCAAAACTGCCGGCATTGGGCCACAATCACGCCGACAAGAATTGAAACACTTAGCCAGTACGGGCCCGAGTCTGGGTACTGAACTGAGCCGACACCACCAGCATCGGGCCACAATCACACCGATGAGAAATGAAACTCTTAGCCAGTACTGGCCCGAGTCCGGCTGCCAAAACTGCCGGCATTGGGCCACAATCACGCCGACAAGAATTGAAACACTTAGCCAGTACGGGCCCGAGTCTGGGTACTGAACTGAGCCGACACCACCAGCATTGGGCCACAATCACACAGACGAGAAATGAAACACTTAGCCAGGACTGGCCTGAGTCTGGGTACTAAAACCGAGTCAACACCACCGGCATTGGGCCACAATCACACCGATGAGAAATTAAACACTTAGCCAGTACTGGCCCGAGTCTGGGTACTGAAACTGAGCCGACACTGGGTCACAATCATGCCGACACCTAGTGCCCGGTACTAGTCTTGTTCGCAAAATTCAAAATATATATATACTTACACTTACTTATAGTTCCTGTCGGTGCCAATAGCCTCGTGGTTAGTGCGTCAACACATAGTGCAACTGCACTCACGGCGTCCCGAGTTTGAGTCCTGTCTTGAGGTCCTTTGCCGATCCCTCTATCCTCCCAGTGCTTTCCTGTCATCTCTCTACTGTAGTATCTCAATAAAAAAAAAAAAAGACTCCTTCCAGTTTTTATATAAAACCAGAGCTTTGAATAATTTGTTTTTCCACAAAATGACATTGTTACCTTAAAATCCTTAAGATGGCATCTACTTCCAACTAAAATAAAATACATATTTTACAGTGTCCTTGT